AAAGAAAGAAGATTTTTAACGCGGGAAAGAATGAAAATGTCGAATTACCTCACACACAGGTATTTTGTGGTAGATTATGTGTGTTGTGCGAATAAATGTAACCAAAAATAAACTGTATTTGTGCCACGGATACCTGTTAGTACAAAATGTAGACAGCAGACTGCAGACCGGATACAAAATATAGACTACAGAGTGGGTAAAAAATGCAGACTGAGAATCTGAAGAGTTTTTACGTCTGGTATATAATAACATGTCATCTTACAGCTTACCGAGCGTCACGCAATCGCTTTTCCGCGATCAGCCTTCACGATTATTTGCACTATTGTGGAAAATTCCGGGCCCATTTCTTGACGAAAATCGATCGTAATATAATTTCAAGTCTTCAACATAGTCTTCTTACTTTGCACGCGAGTTGGTTGGTGTGATGTCTGTACAGATTTTACCAATGTAATAAAAGTAGATGACGTGAATATTAGTGATGGTAAAGCAAGCTTAAAACGGCAGCAATCGCCAGAAACTACAACGGATACACAGGGTATGAGTAAGTTTTATTGATTTTTCGAGAAAAATCTTTATATTTCGAAATATTTATCGTTGTAAATCGACCATATTTCGTTCCCTATACTATTCCTTATAACGTGTTCAAATATTCAACGGTTCCTAGAATAACTTACTCTGAGTCACACAACGCGTGACGCGTTCGTGAATTAATCGTTGGCTCTTTCTCGAAACGTGACCTTGGGTCGCCTGTGACAAGACAATTGCGTAAACAATACTTGACATAATAACATTATACACAAAAAACACGGGTTTTTGGATCATGTATTTATTAAAAAAGAATATCCATACAACTACAATGAAAACAAAAATAAGATTCACCTTTCTGATCGTGAATTTAATACCATTCGCACTGTTATCGTAGCTACGTTCCCTGGCATCAAGTGAATCCAACATGGCATCTTTCTTCACTAGCAGTTTGCATCCATTTGAATTTTGTTCTTCAGTCTCACGGTAGTAGTGTTGTTCAATAGATTGCATAGAGTATATGCAGTTTGGTTTCAGATTTCAGATTTTGCTTTTTACAACGAGTTTACGTTTTCAACTAAGACATTGGCATACTTGGCATACAAGACATACAAGGCATTCAATGCTTTCATGGCTTTCAAGCGTTCGCGATTCTGTCCGATCCAAAATTACCGCTCAATAACATCTTTTTTTGTGGATTGGCCGCGAACAATACGACTTGTGTATGCGTCTGTAAGTATTTTGAGCGTTTGCCCCATAATGCTCCAGATGATCGTAATCCAATTACGTTGAAATACAAAACTACTGACAAAATAGTTTTATGGGCAAAAGTCTCGTGTTCGTCATGTGACCCGGCCCTGTCCGTGCATGACAACGTCAATCATCATCAAGATAGCCCGCGTGATCTGCATGTGAACACCTCATTGGATCACAGTTAGTTGTCATGGTGTTGAGGGCCCAATGACCTCTGGGTACTATTGCGCAATTTTTCCATTTTGTGGCGGAGGAAAAAAAAAAAAAAAAAAAAAAAAAAAAAAAGACGACAAAAAAACAAAGGCATTTTATGACTGGGCTACCACAGGTATCCCAGTAAAAAACTAGATCCTGTGAGCAGGGTAACTGGGATACCTGGATGGTACTGGATCCTTGGAATCAAGTGCAGTGTTACTACGGGTGTCGGACTAGTATACTGAAATAGTGCGCTCAAGTCTGGCCAAGGGCATAGACCTATTTCAAAACATAGGCACGCTATGCATGCAAGAGTTACTTTTTTGTAGGGTGGGTGGATTACTTGAAACATTGTGAGTGATGTCTACATTCTTACAAAAGGAGAGAAGAATATTAATGTGGGAAAGAACGAAAATGTCAAATTACCTCACTCACAGGTATTTTGTGGTAGATTACGTGTGTTTTGCGAATAGTAGTAACCAAAAATAAACTGTATTGGTGTCACAGATACCTGTTAGTACAAAATGCAGACAGCAGACTGCAGACCGGATACAAAATATAGACTGCAGACTGCAGAGTGGGTACAAAATGCAGACTAAGAATCTGAAGAGTTTTTACGTCAGGTATATAATAACATGTCATCTTACAGCTTACCGAGCGTCACGCAATCGCTTTTCTGCGATCCGCCTTCACGATTATTTGCAGTATTGAGGAATATTCCTGGCCCATATCTTGATGAAAATCGATCGCAATATTATTTCAAGCCTTCAATATAGTCTTATTACTTTGCGCGCGAGTTGGTTGGTGTGATGTCTGTACAGATTTTATCAACGTAATAAAAGTAGATGATGTGAACAACAGTGATGGTAAAGCAAGCTTAAAACGGCAGAAATCGCCAGAAAATACAACGGATACACAGGGTATGAGTAATTTTTACTGACTTTACGAGAAAAATGTTCATATTTCGAAATATGTATCGTTGTAAATCGACCATACTTCGTTCCCTGTATTATTCCTTATAACGTGCAGTTCCTCTCGTAACTTAACACCGAGTCACACAACGCGTGACGCGTTCATAAATTAATCGTTGGCTTTTTCTCGAGACGTGAGCTTGGGCCGCTTGTGACAAGACAATTGCGTAAACAATATTTAACATAACAACATTATACACAAAAAAACCACAGGGTTTTGGATCACGTATTTATTAAAAAGAATATCCATACAACTACAATGAAAACAAACGTAAGATTCACCTTTCTGATCGTGAAATTAATACCATTCGTACTGTTATCGTAGCTACGTTCCTTGCCATCAAGTGAATCCAACATGTCGTCTTTCTTCACAAGCAGTTTGCATCCCTTATAGCTATGTTCTTCAGTCTCACGGTAGTAGCGTTGTTCAATAGATTGCATAGAGTATATGCAGTTTGGTTTCAGATTTCAGATTTTGCTTTTTACAACAAGTGAACATTTTTCAACTAAGACATCGGCATACTTAGCATACAAGGCATTCAAGGCTTTCATGGCTTTCAAGCGTTCGCGACTCAATCCGTTCCAAAATTACCGCTCAATAACATCTTTCAGTGTGGATTAGCCGCGATTAATACGACTTGTATATGCGTCTGTAAGTATTTTGCGCGTTTGCGCTATAATGCTCCAGGAGATCGCAATCCAAATACGTTGAAATACAAAACAACTGACCTAAGAGTTTTATAAGCAAAATCTCGTGTTTGTCATGTGACCCGGCCCTGTCTGTGCATGACAACGTCAATCATCATCAAGATAACACGCGTGATCAGCATGTGAACACCTCATTGGATCACAGTTAGTTGTCATGGAGTTGAGGGATAACACGCGTGATCAGTATGTGAACACCTCATTGGATCACAGTTAGTTGTCATGGTATTGAGGGCCCAATGACCTCTGGGTACTATTGGGAATTTTTCCATTTTGTGGCGGAGGAAAAAAAAAAAAAAAAAAAAAAAAAAAAAGGCATTTTATGACTGGGCTACCACAGGTATCCCAGTAAAAAGACAAAAAAACAAAGGCATTTTATGACTGGGCTACCACAGGTATCCCAGTAAAAAAAAAACGACAAAAAAACAAAGGCATTTTATGACTGGGCTACCACAGGTATCCCAGTAAAAAAAAAAAAGACGACAAAAAAAAACAAAGGCATTTTATGACTGGGCTACCACAGGTATCCCAGTAAAAAGACGACAAAAAAACAAAGGCATTTTATGACTGGGCTACCACAGGTATCACAGTAAAAAAGACGACAAAAAAACAAAGGCATTTTATGACTGGGCTACCACAGGTATCACAGTAAAAAAGACGACAAAAAAACAAAGGCATTTTATGACTGGGCTACCACAGGTATCCCAGTAATAATAACTGTTTACGGGTGACTGAAGGAGAACTGGTAGCGTTTACGCTTTGCTGAACTAAGCTTTCTACGTTGAATATTGTATTTTAAGCGCTAGCATGAAAGAACTCAATAACTAAAAATCCTATCGTTACATTATTGACAAGCATTCATAAAGAATAGAAAATTCATTTGCGCAATTATCATAAACATTGACAATCTATTGTGCGAAGGGCAAAAGCATTAGCATGAATGTAACATTCTCTTGGGTGACTGGACATGAATTGCATGTTTTAAATAAATGATAAGAGAAAAAAGTCAATCGATGGCGCTTTACTCGTTCGTGAAAAAATGTTCTCACTAAAACGACATTTATCCTTCTATTACTTCTCTATTGATACAACGTGGCAATATGTTTGCATGAAGCGAAACCATTGCGTCCTGAGCGCGCATTTGTTTGTCAGTTAACGTTATTGAATATCGATACATATTCAAACATCCTAATTGAAAGTTCGATCAACACTAATGAAATGTATTCTAGAGTTAATGAAAAACTTATGCCGCAAAAGGTGTACTTAAACTCTGAAGCTTAGGATCCATAACATATCACGAAGAAAATACAAATCCACGGTTTATTGATCTTTTTTTTTAACAGAGATCAATAAACCGTGACAGAAAAGTAAGTACATTGGTATCCTTCTCGGTAAAAGAGCGTTCACTTATCACGGAAATCTAATTAGTAGGTCTTGTAAATAATGCGTTACGCGCTTGTAAAATAGCAAAGTACGCATCACGTTGTGATGTCCGGTCCCGCGCCACGTCGATAATTTGGGTTCAATCAAGCATCACCCTGTAAATAATTTGGGGCCATCATGCGTCACACAAAAACCCTTTGCCACCCTTCATTATAGTTCTCCTTGAGTTAATGGTTAGGCCTCTGTCATTAGGAAGCATAACTAGCAGTTTCTAAAAGAAAGTAAAATGCTGCGAGGTTAACTCAATGAACTTTCGCCGCAAAATTCCATAAACCTCACCGTTACAACTTCAATATTCACTCTGTCAATGCTTAGCGTGACGGGTTCACTACCGCTGAGCAATATACTGTAGACGGGTTCACAGTTGTTACGAAATAGTTCGTAGGCCGAAATCAAGACGTACAAAACATGCGAAGATTCAAGAGAAAACTCAAGCTGATCATTTTAATCTGTGTATCTTTTGTGATTTACATCAATTTCTTCTTGGATCCAGTGTATTTGCAATCGATCCATCGATACGCCTTCGGACATGAAATTTTACGAGGAGATGTTGTGAACAAGCAAGGGGAACGCTCGAGGAGCAGACTTTGCAAAGAGAAACTATCATTCCCTGGCGAAATGTGTCCAAAACCTTATACAGAGATTTCCTCCTGTGATCTAAATAAGGATAGATTTTCCTGTCCTGACATCCGACGTAAAGGAAACACTACGCTGCGACAGGCCCAACTTGTAGTCACAAGGATGTTGCGAGTATTCGATCTCATTTCGCGCAAGCACAACATACCATACTGGTTGCGATCCGGATCCCTCATAGGAGCCATAAGGCACAACGGGTTTATTCCATGGGATGATGATATTGATATTGAGATACCACTCATGTATTACATCGACTTCTTTGAAAAATTCTCCAGAGAACTACCAGATGATATGTTCTTCCAAACATCCGAGACAGACTCAAAGTATCATCGGCCGAAGAGTATTTTTAACATTAAGTCGGTCAGTGATACACGGGTGGGAGTTTACCGTGGCAATTGGCGCCCCAAAGTCAGAGATCGATCCAGCTGCTACAAATATTGCCTTAAGAAAGGATGCGATTGGCACGACGGTTTGCAGCTCGATATCTTCGTAACCGATTCAATTCCTTGGGGTATATTTCCCTTAAGGGAAATGACCTTTGAGGGATTCAACGTTCTTGTTCCAAACAGATGGAAAAGTGTGATCGCTGACGAGTACCCACAGTTTATGGACTTACCTAGAAAAGGATTCAGACTCCCGAAAAATATAGATATTGATCCCCTACACAGCTGCGAGGAGGTGTCAAAGAAGACGGAAGTGTAACATTCCCAAGACCTCCTGGGTGATACTTAACTCATACCTGGTGACTTACGTGTAATAAAAGTGGTAATCTTGGAATAAAGGTACGGTTACGGAGAGGTTGTTGGATTTTTTTCCCAATTTTTATTACAAGTATCCCAAGCTCAGGTATCATGTCATAGAGGAGGGAAATTATCGTGATTTATATAAACATCCCACACAGCTGCGAGGAGTTGTCAAAGAAGACGAAAGTGTAACATTTCCCGTTTGAAAGTTGATATGTTCATATGAATGGCCAATTTAATTAGCGAGCTAGATTTTGAACAAGGAGTTTTGTCGAGGAAAAACTTGACGAGTAGCGAAACTATCTGGTGAGTGGATTAACAAAAGAAGATTGACAAGAAATTGCAAGCGCTCAACGGTCTCGTTTTTGTTCGCTGTACTATTGTGGACTCAGGTGTAACGCTGGCTACAACGCATGATTATTGAAACCTTATTTATACGTTCACACGAGCAATTAACACTTGTGAAAGCAAACCTGTCGAAAATAATTTGTTGTTCATTCAGGTAAGACTTACCAACTTGTAACCGGCTTAATTTAAATACTTGTCGTGCATAATTACTTTGTGCATTCATTCATTACAAAAGAACTGTCAAGTCACGCTGTGGAAAACAATGATGACACACGCAATGACCACGAGAAAGGGTTTCGAAGTTTTAAAATTTCTAGTACGAAGATATTTTCAGTCGCATTGCTACCACCAAGAATGCAACATAATAGTCCATTTTACAGTTGCGTGTTGGGTTGCAAAGCCTTTGAAGAGGAGTAAGATTAAGATTGACTTTGTTATGATGCAAACCTTTCTGCTTTTCAAATGTAAATTACTTTATTGTCATGCTTTATTGTCATGCTTTTCACTTGAATTTTGCAATCGCGACTTTCGATTCCCCCCAACTCTAAAAAATTTCGTTCTAGTTTTTTATATTTTTAGAGTCATTAAAAAGTTTGTATCCACAGCCTTTAGATAAGAAATTTAAAATTTCCATCAGCTGTAGTTCTTTTAGTGTTTATTATATATATTCATTCCCCTCATTTCACGTGAAAAAGGCATGTAGGAAAACACTGAACTTCAAGAACAGCCAAGTTAAGGCTAATGTGTTTACCATGCTTAAATATTTATAATCAGGGCCACTCGTTTAGGAGAGCTTTTTCAATACGGGGGCCAATGACCATTGAGTATTGGCCGGACTTATGAATAGGAACAGGTACAGTTGCGAAAAATTTGAAAATTTTTTGGGGCAAGGTGGGAGAATTCATTCGGGAACCACGGTTTTGGTTTTCTTTTTTCGTCACGCAGGTCACGTAGCTAGTTACAAAACGTAAATATGATTCTTCTTGGTGCCGTTCCGGATGCCACCGATACCTTTTCCGATGCCTCCATTGTTTATTACAGCAGTAAAACATATATGCCATAAACACTTTTGAAAAATTGCTTAGCATTTTATTTAGCGAAGTATACTGTTGATATTTCGGCATTACAACCCTATTGTTTTCTGCAACTATAACTGATATGTCTCTATATGAAGTATTGAATTTGTTTCCCCGCTGACCACTCGTATTTTGATCTTTTCTTCTTCCCCAATTCGTCGCCTGTGATGTAGTGACTCCCGAATATTCCATGCGAGGATATTTACGACCGCTCTTAGGAATAAAAAATACTGTCAAATTCTCAAGAAAAATACCTCACCTTACTTCCACAGTGATTGAATGCTTACTATGTTAAAAAGAACCCATTTTAGCGAGTTATCCATTTCTAGATAAAGGGGTAAGTTTCTAAAGAAACTGTGGTGCTGCGTCGGTGGGAGAGTATAGCAGGTAATTTAGTGTTAACAACTGGGTTGAAAACGTAAATTAGCCACCGTAAAGGGTAAAAAAGCTGACGTTTCGAGCGTTAGCCCTTCGTCAGAGCGATTAGAGGAATTGTGGGTTGTGTGTGGATTTATATGTAGAAAGTGGAGCTACGCCATTGGTGGGAATATGGTGACGAGAAAACAGGAATAAATTAGTTGAATGAAACTCGTTGATTCCGTGGGGATTAAGGGTGCCGATTTGGAATATAAATTTTTTGTTCTAGTGTTTTACGGCCTTCCGAACTGCCTAGTTGTAAGGAAAGGCCGCAAACTGCCATATGCTGTTTAGAATGATAAGGAAGATTAAAGTGTCTAGCGACTGGTTTGGATGCGTCCTTGTCATTTCTTTCCACATCGCGAAGGTGTTCTCGGAATCGGTCACCCAGTCGTCTTCCTGTTTCGCCGATGTATAACTTATTGCAATAAGTGCAAGTTTTGCAGTAAATAACATTAGCGGAGGTACACGCAAAGTGATCAATGATCTTAATGGATCTTTTGGGTCCCGATATTTTCTCTACGTTATGAATGAAAGGACAAGTTTTGCAACGTGAGCGAGCGCATTTAAAAGTTCCAGATTGGTCATTGGTTTGAAATGAACTCCTGACTAAAAAGTTGCCTTTTTTTTTTAGTCACGTTTGAATGAAATAAGTGGGGGTTGCGAAAAGATAGTGCCAGTCTCTGAATCGTTTTGGAGTAATTTAAAATTTTTAAGAATGATAGATTTAACTGCGTGGTTGTGAGGGTGAAATGTAAGAGTAAATGGAATGCGGTCAGTGTTGTCCTTCTCGGCCGTTTGTTTTCTCGGCCTTCTCTGCCTGTCGATCTATTTGTTGGGCACGGTGGTAGCCCGCTTGAACGACAGAAACAGGATAGCCACGTTTATCGAAAAACTGGCACATTGCCTCTGATTTTTCGGAAAAATCAGAGTCGTCACTACATAAACGACGAAGTCTGAGAAACTGTGAAAAAAGTATGGAGTTCTTGACGTGGGAAGGATGTGAGGATGAATACAACAAGTAACTATGTGAATCTGTAGTTTTGTAGTAAACACTACTGAGTACATAAGCCGTTGCCTTCAATTGAAATTTTGATGTCTAGAAAAGCCAAAGAAGTGTCGGAAATTTCCCAAGTATATTTAAGAGCCGGATGAAAGGAATTGACGGCGGTTATAAATTGAGTGAGCTCCTCTTTGGTAGAGGAGGTAGCGCCGATGCAATCGTCAATGTAGCGGCCGTAGAGTTCAGGTTTTGGGCCGTGGTGTTGGTTAAAAAATTGATGTTCGATAAAACCTACAAAAAGATTGGCGTAGCTGGGTCCCATTTTAGTACCCATGGCCACGCCATTGGTTTGTTTGTAGTGGTTACCACCGAATGAAAAGCAATTGAGTGTGAGTACTAGTTCGGCCAGACGGAGTAGTGTTTCAGAGCTAAGTTCCTTAACAGTGCGTTGATCGAAAAAAATGTTTGAGGGCCCGGAGACCTTCGTCATTGGGAATGACAGTGTAAAGAGATGTTATATCCATGGTGAAAATAAGTTTGTTTTGGTCGAGGAAACTAAAGTCACGAAAAATTTCAAGTGCGTGTTGGCTGTCCTTAATGTAAGACGGTAAAGTTTTGACGATAGGTGCCATAATTTTGTCAAATAGCTGGAAATAAGTTCAGTGGGACAACTGCAGGCAGAAACGATGGGTCGACCTGGGTTGTTAGGTTTGTGGATTTTAGGTAAAAAATAAATACACGAAGTTCTAGGAGTGGTAATGATGAGATTTTTAGCAGTGGCCGGCAATTCTTGTTTAGCTATAAGATTTTTGATCGTATTTTTGACAATGTTTTGGTTAATTAAAGTGAGATCTTTGTCGACTTTAGCATAAAAGGAGGTGTCAGAAAGTTGCCGCAAAGCTTCTTTTTGATAGAGGTCGGCCAGCCAAACAACAACTGCACCGCCTTTGTCGGCCGCCTTAATGACAATGTCTTTGCGTTTTTTAGACCTGCTATTACCTGCTATGCATTTCTAGGTTTACTACGTACATCAGAGAAGCCCAATGTCGCACACTTCCATATCCGAACGCCCGATACAAGAAGCAAAAAATCCAAGCTTAAAATGACCGGGCGGCCACAAATCCAAGGCAGAATCAAAGCACATGTACTGTAGTTTCATTTCAGTTCACTAAAACCTCAATCTTCCCCGTGATACCGACGCTTCTGTGACGCTAAGCCGCAGTTTGCTTAAAAAATTTCCAGTGTAGACGTTTCTAACGGCCCGCGTAGACCCAGCTTGGTAGCCCTGCCTCCTTTGCAAACTGTCCGTCGCCAGGGACTACACCGTCACTGGCATCATAAAGAACCACGGGTGCCAAGTGAGACAAATCAACTGAATGTCCCTTACCTAAATTGTGGGCGGTGTCAATGGTTTCCATTTTCAATCCTATAGGACAGCTTTATCTAACCCACGTTGCCGTTCTCCGTTACTTCTTGTTTTCCTACCAAACTGGAATTGGCAGAGGTTCGTTCGAAGTTCTTCGGCGACTCTCATTCTCCTGGAAGTCAATTATTCCTTGATGACATCCAGGCACATTAAAATGTATCAGTTTTTTTTCAAAACCTGGCGTTCGAAGGATCAGATAATCGGTAGCAAGTTTAGTTCAGTTCAGACTTGTAGCATGTTCACTGAACAACAATCCAGCTCACAGTTACTTCAAAATAAAGTTCCTCAAGTTAAGAAAGTGGAGACTCATGGTAGAATTTTCACAAGCCGAGTCCGTTTACGGTAGAGGGTCTGAGGTCTACCTGAGTAGACTACATGAAATAAAACTGATTAACCTCGAAATAATTTGGTAAAATTATACGTAGAGGACACAGCACGAAATTCAAAACTGCAAATACGTTCGCGGCCGAACGAGTGAGTAGAAGGGAAATATGCAATTCTCTCACTGCAGATCTTTCTTCGGTGTAAATTGGTAGGAAGGGATATGTAATTTATAAGCTGAAACACTAGCCGTAAAGTTCGCGGATACAGTCATTGCTTTCCTTTCGTCCGGGTCTGCATGTGGTATTAATAGATAAGGCACTGCTAAAGTCTTTTTTTTGCTATTTATTGAGTGTTCAACACAACATGCGTTCAACACATTAATAGGCCGATCTCTGCTTCCTAAACATGAACTGTTATGAACAATTTTCGTTGAAATGAACTCCGCTTACACTCTTAAATATATGTGAAGAGGCTAAAACATCAACACTTCAATCACAAAGGAACTGTTTTTAATCCTTTCTATAATACATAAATGCACTGAAAGACAGAAGGCGAAAGTGGAAGTCCTAACGTAAATCAGCGTTGTTTTTAATTTTTTTTTTCTTCTTTTTGCCTCTTCTACAATATTTACAAGTAGTGGACCAAGGTTTTCATGGAATGTCATGCAAGAACAAGTGATGCATCGTTGCGTGACATCCCAAAAACGGCTGTGAAGGAGTCTAAAGCTGGTATTTGGTATCGTGGTTTCGACTAACATCCTGCTTGGGTGTTGCTTCACATGTCTCTGCAACTGTTGTTCATAGTTATGGGTTAAGGACCACAAAATTCTTCTCTTCCTTCCTTGGAGCCTGATGACAGCTTCCGCATGTCTTGCCGCACATTTCTCGTACAAGTTCACCCAAGTCAGCGTGGTCGCAGTAACCTTCAAACTGCTCGCAAAGTTCTTCGCCGACCTCGTCCTGACACTCTATATATAATAAAAGAAGACAATGGAAAAGAATATGATAGTTGATGTTGTACCATTAGTACTTTTTTTTTTTAGTTTTATTTTCAGCGGTGACAAAAAAAAATCAAGTATCCACTCCTCTCTTTGGAATAGGAATTCTTTCTGACCACGTGTAGAGCTAGGGGGGGCGGAGGAAGGCAGAAATTGGAAAGGAAGGTGAACTTGTACTTTATTTAATAAATACACTGTATGAAGAAAACAAAAACCTTATACCAAAAGCCCTAAAAAGACCAGGACGCAACGCCGAGAGAAATTAAGTTTTCTTGTGGAGCCGAGTGATTCTTTGTTTGAGACACTCTGAATGAAGCTTCACGTCTCCTATTTCCCTCTCACAGCAGCTTGTGCTAGACATCCGGAACAGCGAGACAATACCTTAGGGCATTGCTTCATGTTTTTGTTTTTGCAAACTCTTTTCAACATGTATATACAATACCAGGAGCCCATTACTCAATAGGCTCCTGACTATATCCCTATTCTCCACACTCGCCAATTTCTTTAAAACAAGTATAGGAAGGTATAAGGCAGAATGACTTACTCTCGGTGCAGAAGCCGCATGTAGCCTGGCAGACACTTTCCACAACATACCGTAAGGATTCATCGCGTGTATTGCAGGCTTTCTCTCCATAAAAACCAATGATTTTATTGCACTGCCGTTTGTTTTGGTCCACACACTTCACTGTAAGAAACAATGTTTGGTTAGAAAAGAGTGTAAGTGTAAACGCGGCTGAATTCAACCGTAAATTCGTTTATAGTATACAAGCTGGGTAGTACGCTAGACACCATGTGAAGACATTATGGAAAAGTTATGAATTCAGCCTGTACAATGACCCGGGAGGACTATCCTGCAATGCAGGCGTCTGTACCATGATGCATTAATGCAGGAGCCCATTACTAAGCAATGGGCTCCTGATTAACGTTACAAGCTCGCGATCGTTTATCCAACCGGACACATCCAATTTAGAATTAGAGTGAACGCTGGGGCGAAGGGGGCAGGAGAAAGTCAAGGGATTCATTTCCACACCCTCCTCCCTCCCCTTTCCTTCCTTTTGACCGTCACTCACCCCCCTTAGTACAAATTTATTTCTCTCCCCAACCTTCCGCTGCAGTAAAAATCAAAGATGCCAGCTATATAATTTTTCACGAAGAGAATGATATACGAGTAATCACTCGCCAAAATCACGCCTCCGCAGGCTACGGGAACATTTGTTTTATCGACCCCTATCAGTGGCAGATCGAAAGGGAATTGAAACGAGGGGTTTAGGTGCAGGGACCCAACAACACCCGCCCCTTCAGACTTCTGGTTTTTTTTTTATAACTTGTCTGACACCCAAATTCTTGCAGTAACAGGATTGCATGCCCGCTGCTTTGTGTGACGAGCGTGTGAACTCGGCAATTAAAGAAGCTCGTGGTTGTGAAACAAATCTCCATGTCAGAACCATTTAAAATGAAAAGAGAACAGTAAGAAGATTATGCATACTGAGGCTAGGGTGTGATGGCTGAAAGATATGCTGAGCTTTCTTTAGCTTACGTATACGAAATTCGCAAATTAAAAACATACTGAATTGATTGAAAACTGAATCAACTTGAAGTCCTGAGCAAATGATAGCTACCACTTGACTGTGGTTAAAAATGGAACAATCATCTTCCTCAAATTATTTTGAATGTGATTACCATCTTCATCTCATTATTCTGAGCGACACTGGAGGTCCTGAGAGATAGATAAGGATGTATGTGGTTTCTGTTTATAATAAACAGGTACTCTAACTGCCTTTTCCCAGGCTCTCACTTCACGCCTGTGTCTGTTACGTGTACGTGTATGACGTATTAAGCTGAAAGGAGAAATTAGTGCCAAACTTAAGACTGATACTTCTTAATTTCAGGTAGGCTGCTCCGAGGGCCAGACGCTTACTGCGAAATGTTTACCAATAGTGTCATTATGAGGTCATCGATCATGCCATTCTTCCGCTTTAATATTAGCTGCTGATAAGTAGAAAAAACAAATTCTTATCGTTATCACGCAAACGTTTTTTCTAGACATTTTTCTATCGATAAACTTTCCACCAGGCTTATGTTCATCGACCCAAAATATCTGTTCCTTTTTCCATCTTCATGAAAAGATATCATTTGTGATACATTTCTTTTAACGATTCAAGTCAAGTTTAGCATTTCTTTCCAAAGGTTTACTTCACAACTTACGAGTTACGTTCGCCATCTGTTGCATAACTTTTAAGAGGCAGCAAGTAACCGCAGATAAATCGTCTCACCCCAGAATAACTCTTGCAATTGTTTCAGATTATGCAGGTTTTAGCTACAGTTTCCAAGTGATATAATTAATTGGCTTGCAGTTAGAGTTTTAATGGATTTCGTCGAGAAAGTTTCCAAAGTTTGAATGCGCTAAAATTTAAAGCAAAGCTTTCGTGACTTCAGTATAATTAGATTGTCTGCTAATCGGTCATTTCGACGTAAGATTGACGTGGTTCTCCTCGTTTTAAAACTTCACTAAAAGGCCGCTCAGAACCCTGTGCTTTGCGCGGCAAAAAGTTATGATGATTGACGCACTCTTTGGGAAAATTATAATGGGAAAAGGAAAAGTATTTTTTAAATTCAAAAATGGAATTCCTTATTTGTTAGCAATGAATATCTAAGATGTTTGTGGTGGAATGTATACAATATTTCTTGTTAGGATATTTTCAAAGAAAGAAGCCACTCTGAGATAAATCCCGATGTATTGTCTGCAAATAGCATTAATCCTTGTAGGTTTTTCAGCGTGGGGAGGTAATTTCAACACTTGTTTAACAAGTTCAGTGTGATAATCCGAGCTTATGTGTCACAGCCTGGATTAATTCATCGAATATATTCCTCCTAAGTATGCTGAAAAAAAACACATATAAATACTAAGAACCTATATCAAAGTTAAAGTTGTACTAAGAACCTCTTTCAAATGAAGTAAAATCCCATTTAGGTGTGTCAAAGTAAAGAATATACCCTTGACAGGCGAATTCAAATATTGTGAAACCCTAGTTAATCGCGTCGAGAAATAGAATATAACCGTGGAGGGAGAATTCTGGCTAAAAGTTTTGGAATCCGGTTAAATTTAGTCCTTAACGCTGCAGGAGAGGACACGAAATGGAAAAGCAAACCTTTTTATCACGATTGAAATATTCCTAATTTAACTAAAACTGAGAGGAATCATAGCTGTTCCCAACTAAACTTATCATCTAGCTAAGGAATCCATTGTCTAACAAAGGTTAAAAGGCTTTTTTTCGGCTCTTTTAAGTACCGACAGATTCGAATACTTTTTACAACAGATTCCAAACAGATGTGTAAATAATCTTAGCCAGCCGCCCAGTTACTAAAGTTGGAAATTTCAGGATACAGATGAGACCACAAGCGATGATAACTTACACCTTCTAGAACCGTCTTTGAATATTTTTGACCCTGTTCGGTCCAATATGAACAGCTAATCGCCTTATGAAGTTCCGGTCAAATAAATACCGTTGTAACATGTTTTAGCATGCCAAGTGTTTCATCAAGAAGAAATGTGGAGTTGAAAAAAGTCAACTATTAAAAAAGAAGGGATTTCAGTTATTGCAAGGCAGTTTCTACCAAGACTATAAACAATAAAATGCAAGATCATTGTGGTGACATTTCTTCATCTATCAAACCCTTCAGTCTATGTCAACTAGTGTAACTATTCTCTGATATAATCATCTGTGCAAAAGGCGAGTACTTTATAATCAATTAACTTTAAACGGAGCCCTTCACAAGTACGCTTTTAAACAACGACCGACTTCTGAAGTGCACAAAGTTTCCCTCCAAGAGCTACCGTCATAGTATTTAAAGTCAGTTTGAGACCTTTGGATTCTAGGACAAGTGAGGCGGCGAACTCAGATATTTCCTTAGTGATAGACTGAGCACGCGCGAATGTGCGTTATATTGGCGGGAAAAAGACAAAAGCTGTCAACGCGAGCGGGCGAGTTCCAACACAACAGCATGTTGGCAAAAACATGACACTGATGCATGAGCAGAATTTCGCTTTCCCACTTGGAGAGGGTTTGATTACGTCTGGTTATAATAGCAGGGCATACTTCACTGCCTATGAAGAGTACAATGAGGCTCAGAAATGTTATATTTTCTAAGTATTTCGCCGAAAACTAGGTTTAAAAAATGATGCTTGATGCCATACTCGTCCTCGATTCTAAAAGGTTTCCATTCTTTGTAATTCCCAGAAGGACTCCTACAGGTTTGCTCACCATTTAATCCTCAAAAGTAACTAGTATCCAAAATCTCCCAACAATTTACCCCTGAATCCGACGGTCAAGGGAATAAAGGGAATGATCACCAATAGAAGAAACTCTAGATTGCCAAGCAAATTCTCCTTGTCAGCAGCCATGGAAATTTAAAGAAAACAGAAAGGAGAAAATTCACACCGATGTAGGTTCTAAAGGGTTAAAAACGATAACGAAGCACAGGCGATATAGACGAAGGAGGACCAAGAACGAAAAAGACCAAAATTGTTTGCAGATGATATTTAACGCACCTCATTGACGATGCGCGTACATTTTTCAGTGAGTAAGTCTCGCAATCTTGTTATTTCCATTAAATAATAAGAAAAAAATTTGTCAACACTGTGCGCCATCGGATTAACACTTGATTTAGAAGTGTTTTTCAGTCTTTGAACGACGCCGAGATATCGAGCACGCTGATAGCAGTCAGACTCGTTCGCATATTACAAAACAGTTTGTATTTCGTCACGTTTAAAAACCAAAAGTACTCGCTTTAATCTGTAAACTTTTTAATCCCCTCAATCATTTCCGTGCGTGCACAAATCGAATTGCTTCCTTACCTTCTGAATAAATACTCTCTGATGGTTTCCCCTCCGAATATGTCCCGGCTTCGTGTCCACCGACGTAAATACTGGAACCGTAAACCGAGTTTCCTCCATAAAGGACTTCTACGATGGCCGCTACCAAACACAACTTTCTTAGCGCTGTGGTAATCATATTGAAAAGCGTAACGTGTACACGCTTGTTGCAGTAATCTGTTTTCCTCAAGGAAACTCACTGTAGCTGTCTGAGGATTAAAGAACGTAGCTGCGTGTTATATAGCAAATCAAATCAAGGCGTGACCTCCAATAAACATGCTAGGTGTGAAGGGATCACCTCCTATAATGCCCCATTCCAAAGATCGCTGTCATTTTTTGGGGAGCTTTTGAAATCGATCTACCTTTTAAGGTCCTATTACCAAAGACATCATTGTAGTTATTTAAAGGCGGTTGGGTTATTTACCATTCTTCGATGACCCTGTTCCGTTTAGACTGATAAACTAAATGACCCTTGGACATTTGCATGATTATCATTTTTTAAACTAAATTCACCGACGTAAAGCGAATCATCTTGATCAAGTTTGATGTTCCTCAAAATAGGTCTGTTGCTGTGTTTGTTGTAGTCAGTTTCCTTAAACGTCTCTTGTTTAGTGGCGCATTGGCGGTGAACTTATAAAACCTGATGTTTACGAACACTTCGATGATAATGATGATTATCTAAATCTGTACGTCTGCAACGTCGAACAAATTTTCAGCTGTTGGGGTGTTCTGAAAATTGTTATGGTGCATTTAGTTCGGAGAGATGCAAATAATCATCATGTGACTCTTCTCTCTACCCGGTAGTAAGCACGGACATGCTGTAATTATATTTAGTATAAATCCTTAAGTGTTGTATCACTATTCCGTGATAGACAGTGAGTAACCTGAGAAGATAAACATCGCGTAGTTATAAAAAAAAAAACAGAAAAAAAACACGAGCCTTTCTTGATGGTAAGTTTAGAGCGGCTAGTAGAATTACATCAAACAAATAGATTATTCGCTCTCGTTTTCTTGCGAGATGGTTGTTTCGGCGTCTCCCTCATCAACGAACTATCACGCGATAGAAATCTCGACATGTAATACAATACATAAAGCACGCGAGTGGCGAGGGCAACGATGCATATAAAACTGTCCAATGTCTTTTATTTCTAATTTGAACCTCGTGTTTACTACTTCACGTCTTCGTTCAGTTAGAGTATGCCCAAACACCTTCGGCACTGGAATCTGTGGATTTTCTGAGGGATCTACTTAGGTGGTGTGACACGGCGCAGGCATTGCAGGTTGTGTGGTTGGCAGCATTTTCTGAATTCACTTCTTTTAAGGAGGCTATCAGACTACTTATCATAACTTGGAATTGGAATTCAAAATTTAAAAAATTGATAAGAATATTTGCAGGTGACAGTCCGAAGAGTATGATTTAACTTAGGATGGTATGTACACCTTGGTGTGTGGTAGGTAAACATGATCACATATCACGGGTCAAGTGTATCGCTTTAAAGTATTTAATAATATTAGAACTTTGCGCAAATAGAAAGCAGATGAAAATCATATCGTCATCATCAACAAAGTTGCATTGTCAAGTCAAAACGTTAACAAGTTCTGTGAAGAGGCAGGAGATTAAATAATAATGACGAGGTAGAAATAAATTTCACAAAGGCATCTATTTCCTCTTTCTTAATTTCTCCGTGTAAATTGGGTTGATGAAACCACTTCGATTATTTTTGAAAGGCAGCAAATTGAAACCAAATTAAAACTTTATTGGTATTTTTCCTTCTGTTTCCATGAAATGAATACCCTCGTTCAATAGCCTCGGAGTTCCTCGTTCAAGATCAGTTGCTCTCTTGTGTAACGTGCTGAAGATATCTAACCAATTACATAATTTGCTCAATCGAGAATCGTCTTGCAGCAAAACGGGCAGGGGATGTGATCAACGCGAGCTGATGACTGGGAATTCCTCGCGCTTACCGGGAATTCCTCGTTTAAGATCAGTTGTTGTCTTGTCTGAACTGCTGAAGACATTCTAACCGATACATAATTTGCACAATAGACAATCGTCTTGCAGCAAAACGGGCAGGGATGTAATCAACGCGAGCTGATGACTCGCGCTTATTAGGAATTCCTTGTTCAAGATCGATAGCAAAGCCATTGCGATGGCCGGAAACGGTGTTGACACAATGTGATTTCTGCCCAGTGCTTTGAATTTATATATATGGAGATGCGCGGCATTTTGGTGGTTTAGCGCAAAGCCTTAACTCTCAGATGTGCTCATAACAGGTTCAAAGATATGGCAATCTCCAGATGGAAATTGCAAAATTTAGGTGGCTGACAACATAGAGCTTGATGCGGTGCAATTGAGACATGAGGTATTTTTAATACTCCCCTATGGAGTGTGGGCTCTGCGACTTGTAGTTTACCACAGGCCGGAACAATTAATTGCCTCCGAAATCAATTTTGTGGTCATTTTATTTTAACTTACGATACTTGAACAATCTTATCAAACTGAGCAACTTGAACTGAGATGCAGTTTACAAGTACCACATCTGCTTTCAATTAACCAATAAAAATATGTTCATTCAAAACATTTCGGCCATTTAAGTCTTAAACAGGAAATGTGATTTCTTTATTTGCCTCTTGAAGTGGATGTCTTCTGGACCAAAGACCTTAAATAGGGTTTGAACGTTGACGATGCGTGTTCAACATGCATGATACTAACAATTATTTGAGATCTAATCGCTGAATAATCTGTCCAAATATTTCATAAGTTGCAGGATGAGGTCGACTCAGCAGGTTAATTTTCATTTTTGCCCCCACCCTGGTCCTGGACGGGGCAGCGAGGTGAACCGATGAAGGGAGTTTATAATTATTTTTCTGAAACAATGCAAAGGTTTAAGGACTCGGCGGAACTCCCTCACCCACACACCTATTGAGGGCTCCTCCTTCACTGTGGAAGACTTCTATTTCAATCGGTACTTATGTACTTCTTTAACTCTTTAACCCGTAAGAGTGACTGGCATCTAATTTCTCCTTACCATATCAACCCTGAATCAAACATTAAGGTCAGGAGAATAAAGGAGCCGATCACCCACTAAAGAAGATCTTGATCGTTAGGCAAATTCTCCATGTCGGCATCTTAGGAAATGTTTAGAGAACACTATGGAGAATATGCATACTGATTTTAGGGTGTAAAGGGTTAGAATTTATAGGCTACAGAACCAACACTATCCAACAGATCTTGTTGAACTATATGCGCAATAAGATCGTACTTTGCCTTAGTGTCGGCCTCGACCTCAGTTACAAATATCATATTATTAGTTTTGAAACTCGTGTCAGTCATGATGGGCAGCTGATAAGGGAGAAGGGTAAAGAATTTGGAGTCAGAATGAAAGGGATTGGTTTCTAAAAGAGAGGGACCATTGCAGCGAAAGTAAAGCCTCAAAACTTTTTATAACGAGGAACTCCAAGAGAGGATAAGATAAGACAGATAAGTAGAGAATATTACATGGCCTATTTGATATTCGAAATTTCTCCTCTCGTGTTGAAAAATATTTCACGAGCGAGCGAAGCGGACGCGTGAAATATTTTTTAATACAAGACGGAGAAATTTCGTATCTCCAAGAGGCGCCATGTAATACTCTATTTATTATATAAACGCCAATGAAATACGAAATCATTCCACCTAAATATTTTTTGAAGAGTAGACAACATGTCAGTGAATAGTTTCCACGTGTGAAGATATCATGTTTTAACATAAGACTCATAACCAAAGACAATATTGAGAACTATAAATATTACACAACGTTGAGAAGTACGTTGTTTATGATATTTCTTCAACCATTCTTATGAATTATCATCTATAACACCACATAGTCAACACGAAAAACAACAGTTCTGTTTTTCCTTTCAGTATCGAAGGATCAATATAATGACAAAACTTTGAAAACTACTATATTCAAGGACAAAGCAGAGATTATACTCTGCTATTAATGCGGATGAACAATATGTTGGAATATATCTACCGTAATTATTCGATTCAGCGCCCTCCTTCCAATAAGCGCCTCTCCTCTACTGATGAGTGCCCCTCGAATTCGTTCATATTCCATAAGCACCTCTATTCCATTTCAATGATAGCCCTGTTAGAGTACATGTACACTGAGAACAACGGCGGTTTATCTTCCGCCCATGGTTTAAATGCTCTCTTACAACTTCACCACAAAAGCAATGGCCTTCTTATAAGTCTCCTAACTATAATTTCCATGTGAGAGCACAGTTCCTTCAAACGAATGATCTCGTCTAAAATATTTGCGGCGATTGCTTGGCTTCTCGTTTGAGCCAGGTAGGAACCAGGGTCATCAAGTCTGTTTTCCGGTTTTCTTTCGCACATCTTACTGATTCTCAAATAAGAATAAGCACCCTGTCCCTAAAAAGCGCCCTGTTTCAAATGAGCACGCTCCCTCTTGGTAACAAAAGAAAATAAGCTCTCCGGACGTTAATTCGAATCTTTACGGTACTCTTATAAACATAGAAAATAAAATGTACTTATGTACGCGAGTTCTTCAACTTCCAGACAACCTTGTTTTTTTCCCGTAAATTTACTTCCTGTATGAACGTGATTTCTAAAAAGCTTGCTGAGTTTGTCATATGACGATGATTAAAAGAGAATATGTCGCAAATAGCAGCATCTTAACGCATCAGGTATTACACAAGTTTCTCTATTTGTACGTCTGGTTACTATTCAAGCCTATCCTGCCATCCAAACACTTGCTTTTGGTTTCATCATCGTGGTTTCTTCTAGACTATATCAATTGCATGTAAACACCTATGGCACAGCTTTCAGATGCTCAGATGTTAACTATCACGGTCTTATTTGCCTGATTTCCCATAAAGGAAGCTATTGGATTCCACGCATTGCAAAGTTTGAGTTGAGTGCAGTGGTTTTATTTGTGGCATTAATAACTGAAAAGTTTAGTCTGCTTGATGGAATCTGTTAAACAGATTCTATGCAAAAAACGACTTAATGAATGATAAACAGAGAGTAATACAGGGGCGCGCGTGGATATGGAATTTCTCTACGAGTGTTCAACTCGATAACTCACAAGTGAGCGCGACGAACGAGTAACATATCGAGTTGAACACGAGAAGAGAAATTCAATATCTACAAGCAACCATGTATTATTTTGTTTATAATATAAACACAGTGGTACTTAACTGACAAGAAAGATTTTTTTTATTTACGAATGAAGATAAAAGGATCGACAATCCCCGAATAAAAATCCCCCCTCTTCCTCAGGCAAAAAAATATAATGACCGGTGCTAAATTTCACTCGGAAAGGAATGTTAAGACCTCAAAAATCATACCCTCGGAGGCACTTTCCCCCGTCAATACCCGATTAAAGGACTATCTTTCCCCCGTCAATACCCGATTAAAGGACTATCTTTGCCCCACCACTCGAGTCTAATTGTAGCTTTACGAAAAACTTAAGCATTCAAAACTACCCATGTTTGAATCGATGGTTACTACATATGCAAATATTTAAACATGTTTAATGGAGCTCTTGTATTTTAAATGACTCTTTTGTTTGTTTCGCTGTCGCACAACAGTTATTAAAGGAGGATAATGCATTTTCTTACGGCGAGGGCAAACAATTACAAAATTTGATTTTTCCTTATTTTGTGTCAATTTATTTGTAGTCAACCGCTCATCGACTTTTTAGTCGATAACAAGTCGATCCTGAGTTCTACATATGGAATCACTCAACGTTTTGTTATACGTTAGCAAAGCGACCTATGATAAGTCAGCGAATTGCACCGAGACATGGGCGAACCAAGACGTAAGCTACTGCGGCTCGTCATCAGCGAAACGAAACATTAGTGAAACGATCAGTTACCAAATGAGTAATTAACACTACGATACATCCTCTTGACCTTATTCCGCACTCAACGTTTTCGTTAAATTTACTTCTGCTATGAATGACTTCTCAAAGCCTACTGAGACAGATATAAGGGGATGAGTGACGTACACGTGTTAGCAATAACAGCATATCTGAATAACCATGAAAAAGGCAATACATCACGTATTACACTGGATTTTCTTTTTGTCCTTCTGGCGTTTCAAGCCCATCCCATCAGCCAAAAGCTCGCTTTAAGTTCCACCACTGTGGCTTTTTCTCGAGTATATCGATTACACGATTACAGACTTTAGATGTTGACTATCACGGTCTTCTTTGCCTGACTTCCAATCGAGGAGGCTGTTGGATTCCCCGTATTGCTTAGTCTAAATCGAGGAGATCGTATGGTGCAAACTTCCTTCATAGCGCTTTGTAATCTTCCGCTATTTATCAACTTGTGCACCACCTCACGTCCGCGGTGAAAGGAACTGCATTAAAGCTCCATTTCTTTTTCGGTTGAGAGACGTTTATTAGGTTAACACTTAAATCGTTCGATGTAAGAGAGTAAAATAGTGCTTAGATGTCTTCATTTGAGAGAACAGAAATGAGTGTGTTTTCTTCAATTGGGGTTTCATGTCCCGGCAAAGACTAGAATCAGTCTTTCAGTTCCACGTCTCATATTCTTTTGTTTATTGATAAAAATGATCGCGCTTAGCAAAAAAGGAAATAAACAACATGGTCACGTGAAGGAGCTGGGCTTAACAACGAAGCGTATAAATTGGCTCCTTGTGGCCATTGGACATCATAACAAAGATAAATCCGGATCTTTATTTTGCCAAGGTTGAGGTGAGTACACTGGCTTCATTTGTGGCATTAAAAACTGAAATGTTATGTCTGCTTGAAAGAATCCGCTAAACCTCCTTTTAGGAACAGATTCTATGCATAAAACGACTGATTGAATGATTATTTATTTTATGTTATGCAACGTTGAAATTCTACCGGTAAGCATATAATAATTTTTGCAATTGTCAAAATGTTCATCATACATTCTCTAGTTGGCGAGGATATCTTTAAAGGTCACAAAATACGAAGAACAGAAGTCTTATTGTTTGGGATCTAAAGTCCAACAATCTGAAACTTCTCAAAATTTCAATCAGCCTATTTTCTAATTTGGTTTCTCTCTCTTTCATTCTCTTTTTTCTCCTCCATCTCTTTTCTCCTCCATCTCTTTGTGAAGATAGTGCGACACTGTGCTTGCTTTTAAAAAGGAAAAAGTCAGCTTTCAAGTAAAAGCGTTTTTGTTACTATTTCAGTATATTTGATTGAATTATGCGCTTTCCAGGTAAGCAAACTTAAAGGATCCAATCCTCATTTGCCTACATTTAGAACAAATTGTTTTGTCGTGACTCCCGCAGAGATTAGACTAGATTATACCACAATACTTCAAGAAAAGGATTGGCATAAGAAATAGTTGATGTGACGTCTATTAACTTGCTTAGGTAAACAAAGGTTTTTTTTAATGCATTTTGGAAGACAAAACTATTTCAACATGAAAGAACAGCAAAAAAATAATGAATATATCTGATAGAGATTTCAGGCATTGTCGTTGTTCAGCAGCTAGTCGCTTGAGTTTCATTTCTCTTCCCGTCTCATCTCATTTGCTCGATGCAGTCATCGTTTTCTTAATTCAAGTTAAACATATGATAACAGCCTTCAACGTAAACGTTGTGAGAAAACGGCCTTAGTATGTCGAAGTGTCTTTGTCAACTAGCATTTCTATTAAAAATACAAACTTTAAAATACCCTCGAGCGCTTCTCTTCCGTGTGGGAGGTTGAGTAAAATAAAACTTACAGGAGGCAAAACCTTTAGGTGAAGAGAACAATTAAGTGAAGGAAAAAAACTTGACATCGCGACATTTCTTCAATATTAAATTCCTTCGTTTCTCTAGTCAACAAAATACCTTGGAATATTCATCAGAAACTTACGTTGCGTGACACCCTAAACAATAGCTGCACGAGCTGTGATGAGATTAAGTTTCATATAACTACCTTTTCAGCGCTTTGGTAAATAGACTTCCGTCGATTTGGAACACGTATCTCCCATGTTCGTGACCGTTTCAGTGCTAAAGGATTAACTTAAGAAATTAACAACCGCGGTTGCGGTTGCATGTTTGCAGCTTTCAGTTTCACTGTCAAGACAATGAAATCGTTTTAGCAAAGTCACCCGATTGATTCCTTCGGGCGAAAGAGCAATGATAGGTGCTTCTTTTCATGGTGGGACTTTTCTTCCTTTTTAAAAAGAGCAACCTAATTGACACGCGCTGAGCTTTTTTGGTATTACATAGACCGGATGTGACTCGGAATTTCTTTAAGGAAGCTTAAGGTAAGTACTGTAGTCTTATAATTGTGGCCTGGTAGATCCTGCTGACTATTTAGGGAAAAAACTTGTTGCATATAACGTGGGTTTAATATCCAAAGTTTGCAATCTGTAGCTGTGCAATCGTACCTAGACAAATTCAAGTTTAATCTATTGGCAAGGATTAAAGTTATTGCTGAAAGATATTTCGAATATATGGCTCCCCGAGCACGAACTTGATTTAGCTTTTATTTACGGCGCAGTTTACAAGGTTCTCAGCAGTTTCATCAGACGACTTCGAAAATTATCTGTTTTAGGGACCATTCATTATTTATCGCGTCGGGTTCTGGGTGGGGGTTTGTGGGATATCACATAGTTTTCAGTCCTCGCCAACAACTACAGTATATAGAAAAGACTATACAAACCATTAAACCAAAGGGTATTAAACTCAATATGGGCAGAAAACCATGGCGGCAACGGAAACAATAACGTAACGAAAGAAAAGATCTATTGAGCAAAACGATAGCGCTGACACGTGTGTTTCAAAACTTTTACATTTCTTAGCCGTCCCCGGTCAAAATAAAAACGTGAAATCAGCAACTTTTACATCCTCTTAGCAAGAAAATCTCGACAGCAATTTAGTCACGATTTTACTTTGAAGTCAACACTGCTGACTAACATGTTATGCCGAAGAAAAGTATCGTACCGCCAGAAACGGTAAACGCATCGAGCTATCAGCGAATCTTAGAGAAAAATAAATTACGCTTTTTCGGCAACGTCTTACCACACATAGCCGCAGTGTCATGTTACACTCACTAATGTCTGAGGATACTAGATCACTTAAATTAATTGTTCCCGAAGAAAAAATGACTGTACATATTTGATGCACATAGAATTTACAAAGTGAACATGCAAAACGTTGTCGGGTTTATGCCAAAACCTGTCTTGAGTGTTAGGTAGCGAAAAAAAAGATCAGATTCTTTTCGAACAGTTGAAATTCGAACCTCTGCGCTTCTGTTTTCGGAGATGAATGCTGTCTCAACTGAGTCACTTGTACTCGTTGCGAACAAGGTCGTATGCTCATGTGAAACACCCTCAGACATACCTGATATATATGTCCTCTAGCCTATTACCCTCTTAGAATAAATAATTTCTTTTGTCTCTTTGTTGTTTTTTATTCTCAAAGGCTCTTCAAACTGGAAGCATGACTCGTATTATGAAATTATCATTGCTGATCATCGGGATCCTTGTGCCAGTGATATTGGCTCACGACAAAAGAAAGTGCAGCAACTGTGAAAACTGCTGCAACAATGATGGGTGTGTATCTGGTGATATGCATGTGGAGGAACAAAGCAAAGGAATCATCCGCGTATCACAGCTATCCAATGGAGACTTCATCCGAGGAATTTCCGGAGCTGATCGTGAGCCTGGTTGGTGCAGAGTTGAAGCCGTTTATCCCTCTTCGTACGAAAGCGTAACTATATATGACGGTTTCACACCAAACCACATGGTGGTGGATGATGACTTAGTACACCAATTTGGAAAGAAGGGTAACATGTCGGAAAACATACCTTTTAAGCTGGCCACAGAGTGCGATGCAGCCCTGAATTACGCTGGCCAGGCGTTTACACCCATTAGCACCGCATTTTGTCCTCATGATCTGGGATGGAGCGAGTACTTGACACTGATGGCCGCTATTCGACGCGTCACAGATCGCACTGGATTTTTCTGGTATTTCAGCGATGCCTTCCATGACAACAGCACAGCTCATATTCCAAAGTGGATGGATACGCTGCATGAAATGTGCCTGGAGCTCTTGAGCTGCGCCCGCGATGGAAAATGCCAGCAGTTTGAGAACGTGATGGCGGAGTTCGTTCGAGAACACGTGAATAAGAGGTACGTGGGCATCGTTGAAGTTGTGTTTCCCAACATGGGCGGTGATGTGAGTAAAGAGGAAGCTGGTACTATCACTGAGACTGTTCGACCTAAGGGAATGAGAAGCATTATGCTCATGTCTGCTGTCGGCAGCGCCATTGTTGGGTTCTTGCTCGTCGTGCTTATCGCAGCCATACTGTACAGGAAAAAACACCGCCCAGGAGACAAGAAATTGCAGGTTTTGCAAGCCAACCACCCTTGCGTCGACTATGGAAAGGCTTAACTAGTTAACTTGATGTTTGAGTCATGATGTGATATTAGTTTAACAGTGATAGTGTTTTAGTTCCAGTCAAACAGTTTTTGAAATTTTTAGCTCATAATAGTGGCAATTGTATCGAAGTTACGCATTTCGCTGCACGGCGTTTAGTTTTGTTATTTATACTGAGCGTGTGTGTGAATGATTTTTCATTAGCTATAGGTCTTATAAGGGTGGATTCTTTCGCTTTTCTAGTTCAGGCTAGTCTGGTTAACGTGATGAATGATACTTTCCAAAATACCTTAACACAAGCGGTTTAAGTGTTGTTAGGTGCATATCAATTATATAAGATCTTGTACTGTTTACATTTCAGAAAGGATATTTGACAAAATTGTTTTCAGCTATTTAATGATAGTAAGTGTTAAAGCTATTTATTTGTCATTAGATAGTCTTAAATTCTGCACTCCGTTTAATCGTCATTCTAAGCCAAATTTGAAATTATCGTATGTTCTATTTCGAAATTCTAGATTTTAGGATTTTTTTTTTACTGAAATGTTAACCTGTTAACACAATTATCGTAGCTGACAAAACATGTGAAGCTGTTTTAAATACTTCGTTTATTGAAATCTTAAAGAATAAACTGCTTTTTAGTGGGAAGTTGTCAGTAAAGGTTATTGGGTGAGCAGATATCAGAAGAAGAGGAACTGAGGAGAGGGTCTCAATAGAGTGATGGCTTTTACGGCTAACGGTTAAAATTTTGGCCAATTTACGGCTAATGGTTAACACCTTTCCATTGTTTCTACCAGATTTATTTTTCACGATAAACTTTTTTTATGACTAACGGTTAAAATTTGTCAATTTTTACGCCTAACGGCTAAATTTTTTGGCCGTTTTACGGCTAACGGTTATCCCCATTAAGACCCTCTGAGGAGAGTGCAGAGACGGGAATTTTGTATGCGGGGGGGGGGAAGGCTGACTGAATTATTTCAGACAAAGAAGGTTTTGTTTTGACCGTTGTCTCTTTACAGAAAAAAAATCTATTTACAACAGTGGTCACTTCCATTGCCTGATTACCTCGTGAGTAACATACCATTAGACTCTTACGCCCGGATAAAACTGCATGCATGACTATTTTTACAACCTTTATTAATAAAGATCCCAATAGGATTGCCTGTCCGACGTACAACGAGCTAAAAATGTATTTTAAATTATCCAAATGCTTTTTCTTTACCTGCGTACGCTATCTGTTCGTGATAAGACACATTCAATGATACGCGTGACGACCGAGACTCGAACCCAGTCGTTCTCTACTTGCAGATCCTTGCAGTCCACCACTTAATTCTCGCTTGGCCGTGCCATCGGATATAAGGAAAATTTCGATGTGTTGGAAAGGTAAGGGCTTAGGGCCAACTGAGCATTAGGATTGAAGGGAAGAACCGCTACACTTCCTTCAGAAAAAGACGGAGACCGAATGTCTGAATGGCCAGCGGTACATAACCAACAAGAATTGACCCAGGTCCCGCCTACCCCGGAAATTGCGCTGTGCTTTGTACGCAAAATTTACCCAACAGTTCTTCAGTAAAGACCAGGGTATTAGGTAAGACTTTCTTTATTGCCAATTCATCAAAGTACGCCGATAAAGACATATAATTCAAATAAAATGAACTTTAGGAAGTCTTAAACAAGATATGATTAAAATATCTGACAATATGTTCCATTTTGCGGTTCAAATAGGAAATTGCTAAGTTAGAATGTATGCCAGCTGTCTGGCTACAAACACATCAACCAATCACATCAAAGGGAGGCCAACACACGGTCTAGTGCCTTGGGTTGTTTTTTAGTTCTTTCCAAGTATTTTATTTTTCTCCCTCTTCTCCGCTGCTGGAACTGGTTGGAGCTGACTTACTAGCCTTTGAAAAAAATAAAAAATGGGACAAGGATGAAGAAATAACCAGGGTCTTTTGTAACACCGGAAGTTTTGAACGACAAGGTCACTCAGCTGAGATGGGAACAAACAACAAAATGGTTTCCACGGCGGAGCAAAAGAATACCTCCAACAAACAAACACAATATTTCTCATTTTTTTTTCCTTTTCCTTTTTTTTTTTTCGTAAAGAGCTACAGTAAAAAAGAATCTTCCTTGTCAGGTTTCCAGCTTTTCACATATTATGTTTTGCGCTTTTCTAATCCATTATTGAATGATCGAATATCAAACAACCTCTTCCGCTCCAGTATAATTAAACCTTTTCTTTTTAAAAGCATGCGAGACTATGAATGCGTCAGTCAATTAAGGGTAGAGCAGACTGCGGCAACCTCAAAGAAGATCCATCAAGTTTAACTAAATACATCATGACTCGCCTGTCAAACAATACTTTGTTGTTATAAGATGGTTGACATTTTCTACACATATACCACACTTAATCGCCCGAGGAGAAGTCTCTCGCATGAAAAATTAGAAACTTTGTTAAGCCAAGATTGTAGTTGTATGTTGAGGCTGTAACCACACAGGTACAATTTTAGCTGCTTAGCATTTTACACAACCATGAATTTGCAGCTGTTTCGAGTGTTGTCTTTATTAAACTTATGCTATTCAGAGAGATATTGGCCAGCTGAAATTTGTACTCGCATAATGAAATTCGTAACTGATTAACTTCTATCTCACGAGGCGTTGAATGAACTTGGAAAAACTGACCTTGGATCAGCTCCATCAGAACTTGAAATTGGAGATTAAATCCGCTTAATACGAGCACGTTGAGAGCGTAAAGAAAAGTTTTCGCAATAAGGAGGGGCTGGATAAATTTAAAAACGTTCTCATGGTTATTGAAAGTGAAGAATGTGTTATATTGCTTTGCCATGGGGTAAACACTCACTCAGCGATATCTCTACATCTCTTGACATCGTGATCAAGTTTCTTTTCTTTTCAATACTAAATTGCCTGGTGTATTACAACCAGCAAAATGGTCAAGTCTTTCTCACGAGTCACCAAGAACGTTCTTGTAAATTCAGTACAATACACTTTTTGAAGTCGTGTTTTGCTGTACTTAAATCATGCTGGTAAAACGAAAACAACGCGTCTTCACAAATACCAATCTTAAGAGTCATCAAGAAAAGCATCGATGGAGAGCTTGATCCCAGGCCTCTAAAACTACGGATATTTTCAAGCATTTGGCTTATTATTGCTTAAAGTAGGTGGTGCTAAATTTACACAACCCCAGTGATATTTCAGTTGTAATTGTACTATAAATATGCCTGATAGTGGGTTTGCTTTGGCACTCTCATAAATGTTTCATTCAACCCAAACATAGCACCTCAAAAAGGGCGGATCAAGTTAATTGTCCACGCATAATTGTAAATATACAGATATTCTTTGTCGAGAGTTAATCACTTATGTATCTATTTCTGATAGCAAGTACTGCCTAAGTGTCCTTTAAGTGCCCTATCTAACGGGTGTTTTTACTTGTCTGGGCTCATCTCCTTTAGACCCTCAAATATTTCGGAATTCAGTGCAAAAAAGTACATTGCCTTTAATGCAGTGCGCAGTATAATCTACTCAGTTAGCTGAACATCTCAGAGAGACAAATCGCTCTGTTTACTTTTAAATTTCAGATATTGAAGCAGACATATAAACCACAATTTGTCCTTCCCTCATATATTTCCACTGATGAAATTTTTGCATGCACTAAATTTTGGAATGAGATGGACTCTTTGTCGGTGTTTGCATCGAACGAGCAATACCATTGCCTCTTATGTCGTAAAATCAATTCTTAAGTGTCCACTTCCCGTTTTGGCGCTACCGGCTGTTTTAAGATCAGTATCTTAATCATTGAACTTCAAAATACCGTCAATGAAATGCAATTTACTGGATGTTTTTCGTTCCCAGTCTATATTACTTAAGCCTTTTGTCCTTTATCTCCTCATGATGTTATCATCTTTGGCTGAGGTATGTCTTGGGTCAATTTAGTTATACCTATTAGATGCTCTATCACACTTCCGATCCCTAATTACACACAATCAGTGCTGATTTAAAGTGTCCAGGATTTTTACTGCAAACGTGCTACTGTGCGCAGTTCCACATTTCTTTGGCATGGGTTCAAACTGAACTGGTATCAAGCCGTTTCTAATACTCCTAAAAAGATTTGAACCGAAGAGTCACAAAGTGACGGTATTACTGAAATCTTCAATTCATTTGATATTGCGCGTGTTGATGAAGTCTTACAAATAAAATTTTATCGTCTTTCCCTACACCCTTTCCGTGTGTTTATCAAGCCGGGGAGCAGATGAAATGTATATGATGAGGGTGAATTGACGCTCAATAAATTCCTTTAGTTCTGTTCTGGTTCCTCTTTTGGAGTACCTTAAGATGTCTCTGTGCGTCAGCTGTGAGAATGCGGCGCAGTATCGTAAAAGCCAATACCGCCTTTTAATTTCTGGCGTCTTAATTTTCTCTGATGACTTAACTGAATAACAATATATTATGAAAAGATTACGTAACTGCTCATGCTAGTGTGCAAAAGGTTAAAGAACATCTCAGTATGGGCTAAGAAAAACACGCTTTTTGTAGACTTAAAAAGAGTTTTCTCTTAAAGAAAGCTTCAACTCACAGAGCTTATCACAACGTTGCTTTCTCACTTCATAGCCACCTTAAACCTTTCACTTCCATCAATGATCGTTTTGTAAACTCTCTTTATAGTTTCTGTATATTTTCTAGCACCGATGAGTAATGAGAATTGACAAAATTATCCAATGAGGCGTTTTGAAATGTGGGAGGAGTGGGGTTGGCGGGCTCCCACAGATCAAGCCGAACGCATATCCCTACTCAAGTTTCCAAAATGTCCTATGCGTGGGTCTTTGGTACAAGCAAACCTCTAGGCAATCTTAACAGTGTCCAGTGTGTCTGTGATTGATCTGTGAAAATGCATTAGTAAGAAGCTGTTCTGAAAATTACTCCAGCATATCGTTTCACTAACGCGATCCAAATGAAATGATTTGTCTGAAACTGAAAATTTATCCGAGCCGCACCAAGGTGTA